TGAGAAGAGTTTTAAATGAACAGTTAACTTTTTGACACTGGTTTTAAAATAATTAATCCATTACCTATAAACTCTTCTACAATAATAATAAAACTTGGCAGAAGTTGTGAAGGCGAGGATGGAGTATATCGAAAGAAGGAGTATTTCCTCTTAAAAAAAAAGACTAAATCCCAAGCTTTCTTGCAGGATTATATGATTCAATTTTTTTGACGGAGTGGGGGTTGCATTGGGGGTGGGGGTTCGGGTCACAAACGACAAAAGAACAAACTTTTAGTAGAGCCTTGAGTAACTTTTCTTGGATGTTGTTAATAACGCAAAGATGCAGACATGGAAGTAGAATAAAGTGTGTGTACTGGACAGGTACAGTCGTGAATGTTGTTTTTAAGGCACAGGTACAGTCAGGGATGTAGAATAAAGTATGTATATGCACAGGTACAGTCGTGGATGTTGTTTATAAGACACAGGTACAGTCAGGGATGTAGAATAAAGTGTGTGTACTGGACAGGTACAGTCGTGGATGTTGTTTTTAAGGCACAGGTACAGTCATGGATGTAGAATAAAGTATGTATATATGCACAGGTACAGTCGTGGATGTTGTTTATAAGGCACATGTACAGTCATGGATGTAGAATAAAGTGTGTGTACTGGACAGGTACAGTCGTGGATGTTGTTTATAAGGCACAGATACAGTCAGGGATGTAGAGTAAGATGTGTATACTGCACAGGTACTTTCGTGGATGTTGTTTATAAGGCACAGGTACAGTAATCGATGTAGAATAAAGTGTGTGTACTGGATAGGTACAGTCGTGGATGCTGTTTATAAAGCACAGGTACAGTCATGGATGTAGAATAAAGTGTGTGTACTGGACAGGTACAGTCATGGACGTTGTTTATAAGGCACAGGTACAGTCATGGATGTTGTTTATAAGGTACAGGTACAGTCGCGGATGTTGTTTATAAGGCACAGGTACAGTCAGGGATGTTGTTTATAAGGCACAGGTACAGTCATGGATGTAAAATAAAGTGTGTGTACTGGACAGGTACAGTCATGGATGTTGTTTATAAGGCACAGGTACAGTCGTTGATGTTGTTTATAAGGCACAGGTACAGTCAGGGATGTTGTTTATAAGGTACAGGTACAGTCGTGGATGTTGTTTATAAGGCACAGATACAGTCAGGGATGTTGTTTATAAGGCACAGGTACAGTCATGGATGTAAAATAAAGTGTGTGTACTGGACAGGTACAGTCATGGACGTTGTTTATAAGGCACAGGTACAGTCATGGATGTTGTTTATAAGGTACAGGTACAGTCGTGGATGTTGTTTATAAGGCACAGATACAGTCAGGGATGTTGTTTATAAGGCACAGGTACAGTCATGGATGTAAAATAAAGTGTGTGTACTGGACAGGTACAGTCATGGATGTTGTTTATAAGGCACAGGTACAGTCGTTGATGTTGTTTATAAGGCACAGGTACAGTCAGGGATGTTGTTTATAAGGCACAGGTACAGTCAGGGATGTTGTTTATAAGGCATGGGTACAGTCATGGATGTTGTTTATAAGCACTGGTACAGTCATGGATGTAGAATAAAGTGTGTGTACTGGACAGGTACAGTCGTGGATGTTGTCAATCAGGCACCGGTACAGTCATGGTGTAAAATTTCTAGAGTTGTCTGGACAGCACAGCAGAATCTTAGAGAGGTGGATCTAATAAAAATATTTACTTATACAAATATTTTCTTCGGATGTTATCGATAATTATAGGATTAATTTCCTTTAATATGAGCAATTATTTTAATACCATACCCTACATATTCCAGGTATCACACCACGGTTATCGACCAGTCAAGATGTTAATTGTTTCATGCATATGAAATTAATTTTTATTTCTTTTGAGAGTTTTTTTTTTGGGGGGGGGGGGGTGGGGGGGGGTCTTCCAGCCTATTTTTACAACTTTGTTACCTGTGCCTAGTAAATTTTATGTACTTTGTAAATAAATATTTTTTTTTGTCAGGAACTATTCTTTTTCGGGGCATAGGAGGCTACTTCCTGGGGTGCACTTGAGATGTTTATATATAACACATTGAAAACGGGTGGATAAGCCCATTCCACCCGTATATATCGTAAGACATATATTTATGGGAAAAAACCTGTGCTTTTCATTGACACCTCTTGCGTGATCAATGAAATGGGTGAAATTAATAATATTGTGACGTACTTATACTTTCTAACATAAAATTAAGGATTACAATTTAATTCCAATATTTATTTTAATTTCCTTTTTTATTTTACTTTGTTTATTGTTTACTCGTATATTTTCTATAATTATACTAGCATGTTTCATTTTAAATTCATCATTGTTATTGAGCATGTAGGATATTGAAATCATGCCCCCAGCCCCCCCCCCCCCCAAAAAAAAAAAATTAAAGACCTGGCTCACATTGTACTCTGAACATAAAGCTTTAAATTTAAATCTGTAAAAGTTTTGGATCCTTCCCTAATCACTGCTGACATCGTTTGTCTCGGTATCACTGTCATGGGTAATATAAAGATTAGCGTTAACTGCGCTTTGATTGAATTCAGTCTAAATCTAAATCGGAGAAAATCCACAGAATTTTTTGTTGTGGATGTTATTAATCAAGCGCGGGTTAAGTTAATCAAGCGCGGGTTGAGTCAGTGGTAGTGTGTATGTACGGCACAGGTACAGTCGCAGATGTTGTATTATACAGTCATAGATATACAAAATGTACGCTGTAGTAAATGTTACTTTTTAGAGATAATAGCGATCTATGCAATGGATTTAGGCATAGTCAAGCTTACAAATATATTTTCCGCGATATATTCACTAAGCTAGTTATCGTTACCGTTTTGGCGATTACAGCCTTCCATAAAGTAGATTAATTATTAACACATTTCGTATGTTTCATTAAAAAAACAATCCATACTTAATTAACAACATACAGTTTAATACGTTGAACAATCCGGAAAGTCTTGCTCTGACATTCCGTTTTTGATATTAGTGAGCAGGTACAGTCATGGATGTCCGGTACCAGCATTGCCGAGTACAGTTGCGGATGATAGCTGACAGCCACTGTTGCCATGCGGGCAACTGTTCTTTTCCAGATTTCCCCCATTGTTATTACAGTTATACTTATCGTGGCCCCACCCTACCATAAATAACGCTTCAATTTCCAAAAATCCCTCAAATCATCTTAGATTGAGTCATATTTTTATGCCCCCGTAATCGAAGATTCAGGGTCATATAATTTTTGCAGACTCTCCGTCTGTCTGTCCACAAAAACTTTAACATTGCCCATAACTTTTGATTGGTTGGAGCTCTGGCTTTCATATTTCACATGACGTGTATTCCTTGCGACAAGACCTTTCTTTTGGTACCAACATACCTGAACTTTTGACCCATGTTTGCAAAATTTTACCAGACTTTAACTTTGGTCATAACTTTTGAACGGTTGGTACTAGGGCTTACATACTTCACTTGCATATTTTTTGTGATAAGACCTTTCCTTGAGTACAAATATTTTTGACGTTTTGACTTTGACCTTGGAGTTTGACCCACTATTTCAAAACTTTAACCTTGGCCGTAAGTTTTGAATGGTTGGAGCTAGGGCTTTCATATTATACATGTGTATTCCTTATGAAAGACCTTTCCTTGGGTTTAAATATTTTGGACCTTGGAGTTTGACCCATTAATTTAAAATCTTCAACCCTGGCCACAAGTTTTGAATGGTTAGAACTAAGGGCTTTCATAATATGAACAAAGTTGATTTTTTCAGCTCAAGGTCCTTCTCCTCCTAAGTAATTATATAATATATAACTATTACGGACTTCACTGAACGGTCATTATGTGGTTATATTATATAAAGATCCATTTCAAGTGATATTGACATCAGACACAGAAAATGATAGCGACCTTGCAAGCTCAGTCGCTAGCTATCACTTTCTATATATTTGGTCAATATCACTTGACATATGTCCTTATACATGTAACCATATATCGATCTACACTGCAGTCCATAATATTGTTTAAAACATTGCTGTGACGTCATGCCTTTGTTCTTGCAGTCTAAAAATTTACCTGTAGCCGTCCGATAATAATAATTCACAGTCCAATAATATATTATCGGACGGCAGTGATAACAAAATCAGACAGTAGTTAAAAAACAACAACTAGGGTGAGATCAAGGTTTAATATGTCCAGACACCAAAAAAAAAAGTTACGGAGAAAAAATTCAGGGAAAGCGAACGCGAGGAAATTAAGTTGTTAAAAATAGCAAATCCAAGAAGAAGAAACTGGAGTTTTAACCTTTCTCAAAAGTAACACTTTCCATTCGGATTTTTGCAAAGCGTTTTCGATACAGCACTGTGAATAAGCCAATTTAAATCCATTTCTGATAAAGATCCAGTCTGCGAATCTCTTCATTTAACGAGGTTTGTTCGCTAATGACCGCACTTTTAAAACCCAAGATTTTCATTATATCATTCAATCAAAATTTTAGATAAAAATCCGCACTTTTACTTTTAATGCATTTTGAAGATATCATCCAAACACTGTATCTGTATCAATGTCAAACGCACTTAAAAAAAAAATATTCCGAATCATTAAAAAATATCCTTCATCACCTGACCACTGTCCATATTTCCTGCTACGACTGCCATTGAATGAATGAATGAAACAAAAGCGTTCACTAACTCTTTTCTTTTGTCTACTTATTAGATGGTTTCAGGTAGAAAACTATTGATGCCTGAACTGCTTTTGTGTAATTATCGGACTCCTCCAGGTAACTTTTGGACATTTAAATGGCAATGTTTTAAGTAAGATATATGCCTCATACAATTCTATATGTAAAATTATCAGACTGTTTTCGGCCCTAACAGGCCTCAAACAGTCTGATAATTTTACATATAGAACAGTATTCGGCATATATACATTACATATTATCTTTACTAGCAATTTCCTTTCTTTAGAAAAAAAAACAACTTTGAAATAGTATACATGTATTATATAAGCACAAAGTTTAGCACATTGACATAAGAGAGAAAAGCAAAGACAATGTTTAATACAGTATGTATGTTTATAGAAATTCTGATTTTTTTTCCCACAGATATCTGTCTCTGATGAGACTGTAGCTCCACTGATGTGTACTTATAAAAAAAAAGATTTTTCTTAGTAAAGTCTATTTGTGTAGAAAGTCTAAAACCAAAACTGTAGGAGGAGTAACATTTTGAAAGAATTTCAATAACATTTCTATCTTAAGTAACCATGGCAACATCTTTTCTCGAAATCAAAGTGAACCTTGCTCTTGTATATCCCTTTCAACTTTCATTTAAAGGATTATAATGGAAACTTTAAACAGCATATCACAGACAAACCAACATGCTAGATTATAAAAGGAAATGCCTAATATCCAATTTTTTTTTAAATAATTAATTCTAAAAGCGTGTTGACAGAGACCTCTAATCATCCAACATTTTCAGTACATGTACCATCTTATGGCATTTTTTATAATCTTCACAGTAATTAATATTTACATTGCTATAAAAGTAACTACAGGATTAACCCAAGTTCTAGGGACTTCTACATGTAAATAGACAGAGAACAAACAATTTTAAATAAGAAATGTGTCTATTTATAGTGAGTATATTGAGTGACAATGGACATTTGGTACCACAGTACTTTGCATTAGTGGTGAAGAGACATGCTAGAAATCAACACACATTTCCACTTTGTTAAACATCCTGATGCTTAGAAACAGACATTTTTTTTTAAATTATACTGAGATTTTAACCTTCATAATTATAAACCGTGTCTGTATGAAACTTGATACATAAATAATTAGGCATACTTCACCAAAAACTATAATTAAACACTGTATTATCACCTATCACCTCCTACATTCTAGCTTCTGTCTCTTTCTTTCTAAACCTCAAAGGTATACATGAGACCAAATAAGGAGTTTATAGACTAGTTATTGTTTCCAGCTGTCTTTACAACAAAACAAAAAATTAACATTTTACTAGAGCTATACATATTTATTATATGTATCAAAAAACACAGAAATAACCACACATTGCAAATATTCACAACAACTCAATATGGAAAACTGAGGACACACAAATGTTCTGCAATTACAGATATAATACAAGTTAAATTGATGCAAAGCATCACATCAGCCGCAAACAAAATGAAGCATTTCAAAAAGTACTTCACAATTAATTATCCAAGGAAAGTACAAGATATTTGAAGCTGAAAGAGGGATAGTTTCTTTTCAGACTGTCTTCAACACAAAAACTAAATAAAAAATAAAACTAAATAAAAAATGAAATAAAATAAGAATAAATAAATAGAAATAAAATAAGAATAAATAAATAGAAATTTTAGTACGTTTGTTCATCAAAATTGATTCACTGGTGCTGATATCCAGGATCTTTGTCACATTATGATGCTGATGATTTCTGCAGAGTAGGCTATGCCGCACAGCACAGTGCAAAATGTAGAAAAAATATCCTTGTGTCATTCGCAGCTGTAGCATATTCAAAACAATTTTACTTGTTGAACAACTTTTCAATTTTAGAAAAAAAATATCCTTGTGTCATTTGCAGCTGTAGCATATTCAAAACAATTTCTACTTGTTGAACAACTTTTCAAAATTTTTATTCATCATGCACTTTTACCACTTTTAAATTTTTATTATTATATTTCACTTTCACTTCTCTTCAGACAATTATTAATTTATGATTATATAAGAAGAACTATAAAATGTTCTTTGTATCTCATCCCCAATATTTTGATAGTTCAATATATCGTGGTATCAAAATATTATGCTACACTGGCAAGTATAGGTCCACACAATAAGTATGCAGTATGCATTCACATCCAGTACTGAAGTGTATTTATATGTTTTGGCAAGAAAAATGGCATTAAAAAGGCTTAAGATTTAAATGTAAACAATGGATATTTTGGAAGCATGCACCTGCAATGACATCACAGATGACACTAAAGTGAGACTTAATTATGTAATATAAAGGGTGAAGAGGGGCTCTGAAGAGAAATTGTTAGGTTGTAACAAGCTAAAAAAAAGTACATTTAAATAAACATAAAAACGAAATAACTTCTATAAACTACAAGTTCTTATACGATGACTTAGAAACAGTTCAGAGGTTACTTAAGAATTGATGCAATTATAAACAAGGTAAAACCCCAGTTTTAAATTGTATGGTTAAAAACTGACAGAATATGGTTAAAAACTGACTGAACATTGGCCAACTGAAATAAAGGTATAGTTCAATATCTCTAAAACCAGATCCTTTGTTTAAAAAGAAAAAAAATAACACACAAATTAAGACAAGTGAATATTACAAAATATTACATAAACACAAAACCAGGTATAAAAACTGATTTTGAAAAAAAAAATTCTAGTTAAAATCTGATCATGAAAGACAAAATAAACTGCACTCTGCCATCAGGAAGCATCCGCATCATTGTTTATACTTCCTGTTTCGACAGTGCCGTTCCCGTTGTGTTTTTCATCGCCAGCTTCCTCTTTCCTAGTCAGCTGTTGATGCCACATGTCAGCATAGAAACCATTCACTTGGAGAAGCTCATCATGACTGTAAAGAGAAATGCTGAATAAAGACAGGATTTTATAGAAGTGTGCAGCACTGATTCATTTGTTAAAAATTTTTCTGCTCCTGAGCCAAGTTAACCTGCTTTAATAATTATTAAATACTGAATGTGATATATCAGATGATACAATCTTGAATGTACTAAAATGTCCATGTACATGTTATATACATCCATGAGACAATTATTATTTTTCTACTCCATATTATCATGCACATAAGCAAAGTCTGGCCTACTGCTGATTAAACCAACCTGCTGAAAAAACACTTAGATATTTTGGTAAAAACACAAGTTCCTATAATAAAATGCTAAATTTTTATTTCATTACTAAGGATCTGATGAGCATGTACAATCGATTGACTCCCCCCTTTAATACTTACGTTCCCCTTTCTACAATCACCCCTTCTTTCATAACTAGGATCTGATGAGCATGTGTAATGGTGGAGAGTCTGTGAGCCACAATTATGGTTGTTCTATTCTCACAAACTCTCTCCAAGGATGTTTGTATGTTACGTTCTGTCTTTGTGTCCAATGCAGATGTAGCCTACAAAATAAGAATAGGGATTTGTGAACACACACAAAAAATGATATCATCTACTACTATCTATTCTTTTCTGCCATTTCCAACATTTTGTAAAAACAAAAAAAAACAAGATGTGTTTGTGAAACACTGATGCCCCTGTATGGCAGCTTATGGCGAAGGTTAAAGTTTCTTCAAATGCAAGTCAAAATCCAGGCCAAAAGATAAAAAATGTTGATACCCAAAGAAAGGTTTTGTCTCGAGGAATACACCTGTGAAATTTGAAAGACCTAGATACAGCTGTTCAAAAGTTATGGCCAAGGTTAAAGTTTTTTAAATAAAAGTCAAACGTCAAGGTCAAGGTCAAAGTGGTTGGTATCCAAAGGAAGATCTTGTCACAAGGATTACATATGTAAAGTATGAAAGCACTAGCACCAACCATTCAAAAGTTATGGCCAAGGTAAAAGTTTTTCAAAAGTAGGTCAAACTCCTAGGTCAAGGTCAAAGGGTCAAAGTGGTTGGTATCCAAAAGAAGGTCTTGTCACAAGGATTACATATGTGAAGTATGAAAGCCCTAGCTCCAACCATTCAAAAGTTATGGCCAAGGTTAAAGTTTTTCAAAAGTAGGTCAAACTCCTAGGTCAAGGTCAAAGGGTCAAAGACGTTGATATCCAGTGGAAGGTCTTGTCACAAGGAATACACATGTGAAGTTTGAAACCCCAAGCACCAACTGTTCAGAAGTTACGGCCAAGGTTAAAGTCTCATAAAATTTTGCAAAAGTAGGTCAAACTCCAAGGTCAAGGTCAAAAAGTCAAATATAATGGTACCCAAAGAAAGGTCTTGTCATAAGGAATACACATGTGAAATATGAAAGTCATAGCACCAACCAATCAAAAGTTATGGGCAAGGTTAAAGTTGACAACAGACAGACAGACAAATGGACAAACAGACGAACAGATAAAGAGACAAACAGACAGACAGGACAAAAACAATATACCCCCGGGATCTTTCGATCCGGGGGCATAAAAACCTATGTCAGGTCTACAACATATTATTCCAATTTATGTATGGCTTGACATGTAATACAAAACATTTAAGTTCATGTTTCTGTGCAATAAAGTTCACATTTTCTCAACCAGTAGCCATGAACTGCCTAATTAGGTCTAGGATATATACATGTAGTCCCAATTGCAACCTCTTATAAGCAATTCTTTTATTCTGGAAGGGGCTTCCAATGTATTTCTGTCATAAATACTGTATATTTCCTGGTGGCATTTGTCAAATTGACCTTGGTTCAGTTCATGACCTAATGTATACTGGGTTATTTTTGCCCCATGTTTTTTTCGCCTTTTTACACTGACAAACAATTTCACCAACTCAGTTCATGCTGTCTTTCTTGACTTCATCCTGTTTTGAATTTGCCCATTTGTGACGAGGGCAAAAGGGGGTGAAAAAAAATGGGAGCGAAAATTTTCCTTTATAGAGTACCTAGATGTCATACATGTATATTAAATAATCTTTGTGTTAAGCATGGCCTTCAATGTTTCTTCACCAATGGAAGAGACAGCCAGCCATATAAAGAATTGCTATATCTTTAAAAATTGGTTTCTATATAAATCTATACTAAAACTAGAGGCCCAAGGGCCTTAACGGTCACCTGAGTATAAAACATCAATCCATAGAGTATAAAATTAACTGATAGAAGAAGCTTTGTTGCCCAAAAAGCAAGAGAAATAGGATGATCAGGATCATCAAAATAATTAGTTTAGTATTCAGTAACAACTCATAAATTAAGTTCTAATCTGTCCCCAATTTAGATTTTTTCCAATAAGTTTTATTTTCTATTATGGCCCCACCCTACCCCCGGGGGTCATGATTTGAACAATCTTGAATCTACACTACTGTAAATCACTTTTTATTTGGGAGAACTTTATTTTCGCATAATTACGCGAGACAGTGTGCACGGGAAAATTTCTTTTTCATGTATATTAGTATTCTTAAAGATTATGTAGAGCAATAACCACAATTCATGAATAATTTGTCTTGCTAATAAAGAGTCAATGACTATTTTGTGAAAATAAGGTGTCATGAAAATTTAGTGAATTACAGTACTTGAAGATGCTTCTGTATTAAAATGACTAATCATGGCTTTGTTGTTCTTGAGAACAAGATTTTTAAATGATCTTTTCTATATATTCCTAACTAAAACTTTGATCACTTTGTTGTGTCCCCTCCCTACCCCAGGGGGTCATGATTTGAACAAATTTGAATTAACATTACCTAAGGATGCTTCTGTATTAATATTACTAATCCCGATTTGCTAAAAAATCATGGATTTGCTATTCATGAGAAGAACATTGCTCAAGATTTTTTCTTTGTATTCATATGTAAATCTTTGATAATCCATTGTTGCCCCACCCTACCCCCAGAGTCATAATTTAAACAAACTTGAATCTTTACTACCTGAGGATGCTTCCATGTAAATGTAACCAATCATGGCTTTGCTGTTCTTGAGAAAAGAATTTTTTCAAGATTTTTTCTATGTATTCCAATGTAAAACTTTCATTGTCCATTGTTGCCCCACCCTACCCCTGGGGATCATAAATTGAACAAACTTGAATCTACACTATCTGAAGATGTTTCCACATAAGTTTCATCTTTCTTGGCCAAGTGGTTCTAGTGAAGAAGATTTTTCCAATGTATTCCCATGTAAAACTTGGATCATCCATTGTGGCCCCGCCCTACCCGAGGGTTATGATTTTATCAAACTTGAGTCTATACTTTTATAGGATGTTTCCACATAAGTTTCATCTCTCTTGGCTTAGTGGTTCTGGAGAAGAAGATTTTTAAAGATTTTTCCTTTGTATTCCAATGTAGAACTTTGATCGTCCATTGTGGCCCCACCCTACCCCTGGGGGTTATGATTTTATCAAACTTGAGTCTATACTTTTATAGGATGTTTCCACATAAGTTTCATATTACCTTGGTCCAGTGGTTCATGAGAAGAAGATTTTTAAAATATGCCATTAAATTTTCACTAATTTTTAATTATCTCCCCTTGGAAGAAGGCATGGCCCTTCATTTGAATAAACTTGAATCACCTTCACCCAAAGATACTTTGTGGAAAGTTTGTTTGAAATTGGCCCAGTGGTTCTTGAAAAGAAGTTGAAAAGTTTACACACGACTGAGTGACTCATGTGACCTAAAAAGTCCAACATCTCCAATGTTTCACTAAGCGATCATAAAAAAAACAAGAAGTCTGTGAGCCATTGCTCACTAGTAATACCCCTGCTTTGATGTGAATATACATTCTGATGTGAATGTACACAAGTTCAGTTATGGACAGACACAACGATGAACAAGAAGTTAACATCAGATTTGTACAACAAGAGGCCCATGGGCCACATTGCTCACCTGAGCACATTGGCTAGGAAAAAAGCAAATGTCAGTTCAGTATTGAAAAGTTTATGGGGGAGGGGGGTTGAATTTTAAACTACCTAATGATGCTTTCATATCAATATAACAAATGGCTTTGTTGTTCTTGAGCAGCAGATTTTTTCTCATATATTCACTTGTAAAACTTCGATCCCCCATTGTGGCCACACCCTACCCCCGGGGGCCCTCATTTGAACAAATTTCATTCTACACTACCCAAGGATGCCTCTATATTATTTTGACTAATCATGGCTTTTCTGTTCTTGAGAAAAAGATTTTTTCCTATATAATCCTCTGTAAACTTTGATCCCCCATTGTGACCCCATCCTATCCCCTGGGGGGGGGGGGGGGGGGTCATGACTTGAACAAACTTGAATCTACACTACCTGAGGATACTTCCATATAAATATGACCAATCATGGCTTTGCTGTTCTTAAGAAGATTTTAAAAGATATTTTCCTATATATTTCTATGTAAAACTTTGATCCCCCATTGTGGCCCCACCCTACCCCCGGGGGTCATGATTTGAACAAACTTGAATCTACACTACCTGAGGATGCTTCCATATAAATATGACCAATCATGGCTTTGCTGATCTTGAGAAGAAGATTTTTAAATTTTTTTCTATATACTATTATGAAAAAACTTTGATCCCCCATTGTGGCTCCACCCTACCCCAGGGGGGCATGATTTGAACAAACTTGAATCTACACTACCTGAGGATGCTTCCATATAAATATGACCAATCATGGCTTTGCTGATCTTGAGAAGAAGATTTTTAAATTTTTTTCTATATACTATTATGAAAAAACTTTGATCCCCCATTGTGGCTCCACCCTACCCCAGGGGGGCATGATTTGAACAAACTTGAATCTACACTACCTGAGGATGCTTCCATAAAAATATGACCAATTATGACTTTACTGTTCTTAAGAGGAAGATTTTTAAAATATTTTCCTATATATTTCTATGTAAAACTTTGATCCCCCATTGTGGCCCAATCCTACCCCAGGGGGGCATGATTTGAACAAACTTGAATCTACACTACCTGAGGATGCTTCCATATAAATATGACCAATCATGGCTTTGCTGTTCTTAAGAAGATTTTTAAAGATATTTTCCTATAGATATATTTCTATGAAAAACTTTGATCCCCCATTGTGGCCCGACCCTACTCCCGGGGGTCATGATTTGAACAAACTTGAATCCACATTACCTGAGGATGCTTCCATATAAATATGACCAATCATGGCTTTGCTGTTCTTAAGAAGAAGATTTTTAAAGATTTCTATATAAAACTTTGATCCCCCATTGTGGCCCCACCCTACCCCCGGGGGTCATGATTTGAACAAACTTGAATCTACACTATCTTAGGTTGCTTCCATATAAATATTACCAATCATGGCTTTTCTTTTCTTAAGAAGAAGATTTTTAAAGATATTTTCCTATATATTTCTATGTAAAACTTTGACCCCCATTGTGGCCCCACCCTACCCCCGGGGGTCATGATTTGAACAAACTTGAATCTACACTACCTGAGGATGCATCCATATAAATATGACCAATCATGGCTTTGCTGTTATTAAGAAGAAGATTTTTAAAGATATTTTCCTATATATTTCTATGTAAAACTTTGATCCCCCATTGTGGCCCCACCCAACCCCCAGGGGTCATGATTTGAACAAACTTGAATCTACACTACTTGAGGATGTTTCCACAAAAGTTTCATCTTTCCTGGCCCAGTGGTTCTTGAGAAGAAGATTTTTAAATGATGCCATTATTTTTTCACTAATTCCTAATTATCTCCCCTTGAAAGAGGGCGTGGCCCTCCCTTTGTATAAACTTAATCCCCATTACCCAAGGATGCTTCATGACAAGTTTGGTTGAAATTGGCCCAGTGGTTCTGGAGGAGAAGTCAAAAATGTGAAACGTTTACAGACAGACGGACAGACAGATGGACGACGGACAAAATGTGATCAGAAAAGCTCACTTGAGCTTTCAGCTCAGGTGAGCTAAAAATGAATCCCACCATATAGCAGGCCAAAACAAAGAGTATGCTAAAATTTCAAGCATCTGCAATCAGTACTTGCTGAGAAAACTGTGACCAAAATTTGTTATGTATGGTATGGACAGATGCAATAATAAACAGGAAGTTGACATCAGATTCGTATAAAAATGAATCCCACCATATAGCATGCCTTAACAAAGAGCGTGCTAAAATTTCAAGCATCTGCAATCAGTACTTGCTGAGAAAACTGCGACCAAAATTTGTTATGTATGGTACGGACAGACGCAATAATAAACAGGAAGTTGACATCAGATTCGTACAAAAATGAATCCCACCATATGAAATGCCTAAACAAAGGCTGTGCTAAAATTTCAAGCTTCTGCAATCAGTAGTTATTGAGGAAACTGCAACCAAAATTTGTTATGTATGGTACGTAGAGAGTCGCATGGATAAACAGGAAGTTGACATCAGATTCATACAAAAATAAATCCCACCATATGACATGCCTAAACAAAGAATGTGCTAAACTTTCAAGCATCTGCAATCAGTAGTAACTGAGAAAACTGCGACCGAAATGTGTTATGTATGGTACGGACAGACGCACGGATAAACAGGAAGTTGACATCGGATTCGTACAAAAATAGACCCCACCATATGGCATATCTAAACAAAGTTTGTGCTCAAATTTCAAGCATTTGCGATGAGTAGTTGCTGAGAAAACTGTGACAAAAATTTGTTATGGACAGACAGACACACAGACAGACAGACAGACAGCTAGACACACAAGGGTGAAACAGTATACCCCCCTCTCCTTCGGAGCGGGGGTATAAAAATGGATGTTTGACTGCAGAGTGAGATATTGGACCTGTTGATGAGATATAGGACCCCTTACGTCACACTGTGGGCGGGATCAGCTAAATCTTATTTGCATTCATCATTCTGTTCGACAGTGTCAAAATAGACTGAGTTTTCGTGCAGATAAAGGAAATTTACATCATGAAAGCCAGCACAAGATACATATACATGTATGTCAAAAAATATAAGGTATAACAAAACATTTATTGACTGTGTTCTCGGGGAAAATGTGTTTTGTTGACACCTTGAACCAAACTGTTTGCATTTGGCCTAGGGCAAACAGTTTTGTTCTTGGGTCCGACAAAAAGCATTGTTGCCGGGAAGACAGTCATTAAATGTGTAATGTCAGAAATGTTAACAAAAATAAAATTAAAAATTTCCTTTGATTTCACTCTAGCTAAAACAAGTACAAATTCACAATGTATAATATTACCTCATCCAGCAGGACAATCTGGGGGTTCTTTAGAATAGTCCTGGCTATAGCCACCCTCTGTTTCTCTCCACCACTTAGCTTAAGTCCTCTCTCCCCAACCACTGTGTTATAACCTGCAAGAATGGTTTTAAAATAATGTATGTAGCCTCAAAAATTAATATCACTTAAGATCTTATAAACATTGTTTGAAAGGAAATTGACTAAGAGAGTATCATGCATTCTGGGTAATTATGGCAGGGTGTTGATGTAGGTGTATAGATTAACTCTTGTTCACCAAAATGTATCTTATAATAGCCAATAATAATCAATTTACTCTTATGTTATGTATTTTAAATACAGTACTTTAAAAGTTAGTCTGAGAGCTATTTGCACCCTTCACTCAAAGACACTGTAAGTAAGAGACATACTGAATCAGAGGGAGAATAGATATACATTTGTATTTAAGACAAGAGATATAGGTTTAGTGATAAGGGACAGACATATTGGCAAACAGGTGATTATGGAACAGACATGAAGAAAATTTATCACTGCAGAGAACTTGCAGATTGGGACCCTTATTATCTTAAAGATCATAAGATTTGCCTAACCCTACATTGCATTTAGCATACTTGTAAAATGCTTAATACATATGTACATTGTCATGTTGTTGTTTTCTACAAGGGGGGGGGGGGGTTGTGACTGGTCGGCATGGGATGCTTACTCCTCCATGGCACCTGATCCCACCTCTGATGCTTTAAGAGGTCTGTGTTTGCTCTGCTCCAAATTTGTATTAATTCAATGGATTTTTAAGCTTCATTTCTTCATATTTCATGGGACAGACATGAGGAAAATATTTCACTGCACAGCACTTACCAAGTGGAACCCTTATCATCTTCATAAGATAAGCACAACCCTACAGTGCATTTAGATATGTACATTGTCATGTTGTTGTTTTCTACAAACTTAATGTGAGGTATGAATGCATCCTTACCATCAGGGAAAGATAAAATTCTCTCATGAATATCTGCATTATCAGCTGCTTCTTCCACCTGCTTGTCATTAGCGTCAACATTACCATAACGTATATTATAGCCAATATCAGCATTAAACAAGACAGTATCCTGGGGCACAACACCAATTTGTTGTCGGAGAGATTCTTGCTTGACCTTCAAAATCAAAATGCACTAAATGTACAATTATGCAGTGAGTACATGTGTTATCCTATGGACATGTATCAGCACTGACATGCCTCTTACAATTAGTTTTTTTTATTCAAATACCAGGGATATGTGGGAGTGTGTTGGCTGTCCCAATCACTTTTTCTCTCTGATTTTTATCCTCGTTATCTCAAATCCTTGGATATCTAGAAGATTAATCTTGGTCCAATTGAGTTTGAGATAACGAGGTTTGACTGTATATCAAATTGTTTAAAGACTGTTCTCTGCACCATTATGACAAATTAAACAAACAGAATATTTTAATTCAAACTAACCAGTGAAATGTCTTGACCATCAATAAGGATCTTCCCTGAAACAACATCATAAAACCTGAATAGCAGTCTGATAATGGTGCTCTTTCCACTGCCCGAGTGACCTACCTATAAAAACAACTGAACTTAAAAAGTAATTTTTATAAATCTCATAATGAACATTCATGAGTGTATCAATATGTATGATATCCACAAAGAGAAAGAATTTTTGCTGTGAATTTTCAAAGAAAATCACTGTGTATACATTGTGACAGATTTACATGTAGTTAAAAATAGTCAATTTGTTTTTGGAATGAAAGTTTTAAATACAGCAATATCTAAAGGGGGGGGGGGGGGGACAACAACAACAAGAAATGAAAAAAAAACTGAAAAAAATTGATTTTCTATAGTAAGATGAGTGTGTGAAAGCTATGAAATATTGAAAAAGCCACATACTAGTGCATAAGTCTGTCCTGCAGGTACCACAAAGGAAACATCCCTCAGAATCTTTTTACTAACAAGATAAACAGAAAAAAGTACTGTGTATTATCATTTTTATTTTAAATCAAGTCTTTCAATAATCAGCAAAAATATTTAAAGGTTATATATATATATTAATTTCTGATGGTGTAAACCACAGGCGCCTGACGTTTTTAACCTTTCTTTCCATAAATAAAAAATCCCCCATACTATAATAATAACAAGGTTCGTCACGGTCGCCATCTTGAATTTTTCAGTTCAGCTACTTCGCCTCGATTTTTTAGTCTACAATGTGTTTAAAATTAACGGATACAACCGTTTCCCTCAAGTACTTACTTTAACTATGCCTCCACTTTTGGGCAATTCAGCTCAAATCACATTAAATCCTCTCTAATTCTTAAAATGTCGCTTCAAACTCAGTCTACTGCTACCGATTCCGTAAAACTTAGAAAAGGGAGGCCGGAAGTTGATGTTAGAACGTCACAATACGGGAAAGCCCTTTTCTGATTGGTGGATATCTTGAGAGTTATATTAATATTAAGAGCTGTTTAAAAATGGAGTTTGAGCAGTTCTAGACTACTGGTACGTATTTTATAAATAACTTAGTAATATATATTGATACATCTATAGTCCCCAACTGTTTGCAAATAAATATATATTTAGCCTAAAACTGTGTACTTTTTCAACTGCTATTTAAGAAAAAGTGAAATATTTAGGCTGAATAGTATACACTGTATTTTACATACAGAGGCGTAGTTACACACCTGAAAGTAAAGGGGGCTTAAATCCAAATAAAAATTCAATTATATTGTCAAAACATAAAAGCGTTTACAATTTAATTCTGAAATTTAGGGGGGGGGGGGGGGGGTCTGGCAGATTTTGAAAATAAATTTAATTGTCCTTCACTGACATGGAAATAAAGCTGGGAAAAAAATTGAAAGCCCAGCCCCCCCCCCCCCCTCCGGAATCAATTGGTTCTCCCTTAAAAATAAATGAATGGCAATATAATCTGTGAGGCCACCCGTAGGTCTTAGGCGAAGCCTTGATTCGGGGGGGGGGGGGGGGGGGGGGGGGGGGAGCTCCTGGCTTGTACAAATATTTCAATCACATTCTTGCAGGGAATAGCATGGTATTTGGCTTTTCTTATGAAAGACAAGACAGAAATATTGTTTTTAACATGAAGTTTAACTTTCTCGGAAACTTATTGTAAATGTACTTGAGGCATGCAGAATCTTTTACCGCTACATTTGTATCGTCTGCTCTCTGTTATAATATGTATTAATAATGTTCAGCAACAAGTATTTTAAATGTTGGTAGCAAAAATAATTTTAAAATCATATACTACAGTGGCGGATCCAGGAATCTTGAAAGGGGGGGGGGGGGGGGCGACCAGTTTGGGGTCAAGGTAGGGGCTCACAGCCATACACAAAAAATTGCTTTATTAAATCTTATGTATATTTTGGACACAAAGGGAGGGGGCGGGTCCCCTGCCCCCCTCTAAATCCGCCAGTAAACTATTTGATCAAGCCATTTGACGATAATTAAACTCAATTTCTCAAAGTTTTTATAGAATTATTAATGTGTTATAGAACACTTACTATAGATTAATGATTTATTTGGATTTGGCAATGATTCAATAAAAGATTTCAAATAGACGTAATAATATAAAATTTGATTCGAAATAATGACAATTAATAATTTGAAACAAAAATATTTGCCGGATGATGCTAATATTTTTTTTCTCAACAATCTCTCTCTCTCTCTCTCTCTCAGACCTAGATTTTAAAAAAAAAAAAAGATGTGTAGTAACGCACTTGCGTACTTGCAAAGACAGCTTCGCGCCTGTAGAAAGAGGGGGCATGGAGGTTCAGTGATCTGGGCCAGCTCACCACTGTGATGAAAAATAAAACATACACATATCTATCCTTCTTTTTATATATATATATAATTTTCATCGCTTCCAAACACTGAAAATAGTACCATTATAAAGAAGAAATATTTATGCCAGAATGCAAGGGGTCTGGTTTACACGAGAAATTAGTAACCAGAATTCCAGGACCAGGCATAATTTTTATTTCCTTATGATTTTTTCTTCAACAAAATAAAAGAAAAAAAATATTTCACATATTATATCTGATGATTATGGAAAGCATCGGCCTGATCAGCATTCAACATGTCGAAAAAGTTTGTAACTGACTTTGCATGATTTTTCCCGCGAAACGTCATATTTCTTTTAACCAATGAAATTTATGTAGAGGGAATTCCTATTTACATAACAACATCAACTTCCGGCCTCCCTTTTCTAAGTTTTACGGAATCGGTAGCAGTAGACTGAGTTTGAAGCGACATTTTAAGAATTAGAGAGGATTTAATGTGATTTGAGCTGAATTGCCCAAAAGTGGAGGCATAGTTAAAGTAAGTACTTGAGGGAAATGGTTGTATCCGTTAATTTTAAACACATTGTAGACTAAAAAATCGAGGCGAAGTAGCTGAACTGAAAAATTCAAGATGGCGACCGTGACGAACCTTGTTATTATTATAGTATGGGGGATTTTTTATTTATGGAAAGAAAGGTTAAAAACGTCAAGCGCCTGTGGTGTAAACTTGTGTAATTAATGTCTTTCTTAAAAATTCTGCATGTTTTGGGATTTTTACATGTACATGTAATATGTACATTTTATCTAATTTACAGAGCATAATTAAGTCATTATCTATTAATTCTGAAGTGAGCTACTTGATCTGCTGTGTAATCATATAGAAATCAGAGCTTCCAAATAACAACTGAATTTATATCGTACCTTTCTTCATAATGGAAGTTGACATTTCTGAATTCTATTTTGCCATTGGTAACTGCAATATTCTTAGCATCTGGGATATCTTTAATCTGCATGATGGAAAAAAATGAATTCAATGTCAGATCTAATATTGCATCTTTGCTAGCCAAGTGTCTGATTCGCTTACTCTCATCTCATTAGGAGGTGACAGTAAGAGAATTGACATTTTGATAGGGAAGATACTAATATTGTGACAATGTCAACATACAGAGTAATTCATTTATTAACTTATATCATCAGGGCCAAAACTCAAATAGTAAATTGTACTTTTGATGGTAAATGATTATTTGCAGAAACCAAAATTCACCGAGTGGACTGTAGCTCTACTGGTTTGTACTTACAACAAAGGAAGAGAAAAGTAGTACTTGAACTTGTCAATGAAACTATGCAACAGCACTAAATAGAATAATGATCCTTGGTTTATAGTCTCTCTTTTTTTGTGGCAAGATTTATTGCAATCAGACTAAATGCTAAGTTATATTGAAATCATCCCAAAATTGTAGGAGTAGCATTTTGAAAGTATTTCACAGATATTTCTATTTTGAGTAATCATGGCAACACTGTTCATCGAGATCTAAAAAAACCTGATACACAGAATTATGTATCTTAGTGTAGTTTTCTTGTGTGTCAAGTTATATTGAAATCAGACCAAAATTGTAGGAGTGGCATTTTGAAAGTATTTCAAAGATATTTCTATTTTGAGTAACCATGGCAACATCGTTCATCGAAATCAAAAACTGATACACAGAAAGATGTATGAGTGTAGTCTACTTGTATACCAAGTTATACTGAAATCTGACCAAAACTGTAGGAGGAGTAGCGTTTTGATAAATTGTTTACAGACAGAAGGACAGCTAGACGGATGGAAGGCGGACACCTTAATTATCACATAAGCTCTTCTGATCCCTAACCAGTACTGAGTAGAGCTAAAAAAAAAGATGGGATAAAAAGTGTACCTCTTGGCTTTCATCCAACAGTTCAAACATGTTTTCCATATCAATGAGAGACTGCTGTATCATTCTGAAATGTAGACATAAAATATGGCTGAATATCAGCATCTTGGACAATGATATATCAAATCCTTAGGTTTTCTGAAGTGAGTCCAAAAGTGCCTTAAATTATTGTCTTAATCTCAGGTATAATTTGTTATAAATCCAAGTTTTATTTTGATTACTTGAACACATGCCTATCTGGGAGACTTTCTCTCAGTCATACTGAGTTCAAAATATAAGTTTGATATTATGTGAGCACTATCAGATTGTATGTGTATTCATGTGAGTTTTAAATTTCACTAATTTGCCTCATAAATTATGAGGCTTTAAAATTTTTGAAAATTGGTTTTAGTGTAGATTATACTCATATCACTTTCTTTTTTTATTTCTCAATTTCTTCTGTACTTTAATATCTTGTAAGTCATTTTCAAACACTATTTTCAGTGTAATTTAACTTACTGTGAAAATGTTCATTGATAGGCATGCTCCCCCCCCCCCCTTTTTTGGTCAGATTTTATTGGTAATGTATTTTGCATTTTTTTTCTTGTTGAAGATAGAACCTAATCCCCCCCCCCCCCCCTTCCACAGAAAGGATTGGTAGGGAAAACTTTCCCAAAGACTTGAAATAGATCATTAATTATTTTTATGCCCCTCTCCCCCAATTCATAAATAATGGTATACATGCCTGAAAAGTACGTTTTGGCCAGTTCAACTGTTTAACGGACTTAATTACATGTTGTGTCAACTTGTGTTAAGGACTTTTTGAGTCGGTGTGGAAATATTTCAATAAATAAAATGTTTTTTTTTTCAAATGGGCTTGATGTTCAGCCATGCCCATGGTAAAATTTCTTTGGCTTGCAGTTATACAATATGGGATCCCACTATGGGATGACTGCAAGACCATGGTTATCAGTATTCAACCATGACTAGCTTTACTACAGAAGCACTTTGTTATAAGCGTGTTTTACTGTACTTTTTTGTCAAAAACCATGGATGTCAAAAGTAAATCTATATTCCTGATTTATTCTTGATTTCATTTTCAACTTCTATATTTCAAACCTTGATAATCTCTAGGGCAAGTTCTATCCGGATGAGTTTGAGAAATCACATTTGTCAATGACTATAGTTAATTCACTGAACTCATAGTTACCTGTAATAATTTCCTAGAAAGTTGAGTGGTCCATACAGCTGGCTGAGGTATGTCCCGAATAAAACGTAGTCCCCCACCGTGAGGTGAAGGTCACTAATGGAGTACACCACTGCGTACGCACACAACAGTGAGCCGCTAATCATTCCAAAGGTGCTCACTGTGTTCTGGAGAGAATTCAACAGGTTAAGCGAGGCGTTCGTTTTCCACTCTGCAACCTGAAAATTAATTTTAGTAAAAGTTGTTTCAAACATCACCTGTGCAAGTAAACAGCAATTTGAATTTTTTTTTTTAGTTTTTTATTTTAAATGCAAATGATGTTCAAAATTTAAAGGATTTGTTGGTTGATTGATAATTCCCAAAAAAAAAACTTATGAGAGAAATACATTCAAACCAAACAACTTAAGGCTTACTGATCGTCACCATACAGAAGGAGCCTTCATATTTCTGAGTGATAAAATAGAAATACATTTCTTATTGCTTAAACATGTACATGTATGTAATTGATAAATATACCTGATAATCTTCTATTGCTGTATCAAATCTACTGGTCTCAAACTCTGAAGCACCATAATATTTAACCTAGAATGGAAAGTACATTTATCACAGAATGCAATGAAATATAGTTCATGGGCTTATTCCCCGAACATCTACTAACTAAAACAACTAGTTCAATATCACACTCAATTAAGAGGCCCTATAAGGGGTACAGCTAAAGTTTACCAGCTGTGTTGCCTTGATTAAACAAAGTATTCTAAATTACATTGAATACATTTTTTTTTCTATAAAAATTATGTCCTTAAGTACAGTTTCATTAATTAAATGATAACAATAATTAAGGCACTAAACAAATTATTCCATCTTACACTTCTTGGTAATTTTGTACCAAAATAAATTGTTTTAAGATTTGACTTTATTGAATGATGCAAATATGATATTTTATTCTTCATCAGCCACCCTTAAGGTAGCTCGCGGGTTGCTGACGTTACAATAGGTATCTACGTTAAAAGCTCACCATTATTACAACATCAAAATACAGACAACTAAAAAATATCTTTAGCAGTATAAAATGAAACATTAGTTATAAGTTTATTTAAATTTAATTAAAAGTAAAGGACATGTATACAAATAAATTATGAGCTTTCTTTATGGTAGAAAATGAGATGGATGAAATGAATACTGTTCTTCAAAGTAAACTGCAATATTTTGTCATTCTTTGCAAATATAAATACATGTATTATTATTAGTTCATTTTGGCGGAGTTTTAACACTGGCGCTGCAGAGAGGGGAAGAGATGGTCATCATTATGTACTGAAGGGAAAGCTGAAATCTGTTAATTCAGTGATAGTTATTTTTTTCTATGAAGTATGAGCATCCATATGAATTGTGCTACCTTTAACCATATAGAGATTCATGCATATATACTTTGTTATGTTAACAATTAAAAAATAGGCACTTTTTGCAACAGATTACAATAGTTTAAAATTGATTTGCAAATATAATCAAACCCAATTAAATGCTCATTTTTTTTAATATAGATTTTTTCCAGTTATCTCCGCATTGTTTGAGTTATTTGGGGGAAAAACATGAATTTTCCTCTATGTTTCAATGAAATAGTGCCATTCTGTGATCAAACTAGCAATTTACAGCAAATTTTTAAATAAAATTATGCAATATCATCAATCAGTAACATATTAATTGTCGGATTGCATGCTTTATTTTGCAGGAGTTGTTTAACAACGCACATATTTTTAGTCATACAGGCATAAGAAAATAATGACTTCGGGATAACGTAATATAACTACATTTTAAAAATCAAATGTTTGATGGAAAATTGTAAAAATTTAAAGTTTTTTGCAAGAAATTGAGTGAGAACACGTATTAATTTTTTTGTATGAATTGATTCTAAATTATCTTCACATTCATTGTGTTAAATAAGATAAAATTTGTCCTTCATTTCAAAATTATGAGCATGGTTTTGAAATGCATTTACCAGTGTAAAAGGTGTATTTTACTATATATTTCAATGAAATGGTGTCATCTGTATTCACCAACATTGGTGCATTTGAGATATGATTAAAACATAATCACATAGAAAAATCTGAAAAAAAAATTCAGAAAAAAATTTTTGAAGCAAATGGATTCAGCAAAAAAAATTTCAGAGTATGTTTTCAGAAAGACAGTAAAGCCGCGAGCTACCTTAATCAAACTCTCTTATTTACTGTCTCAAAGTTGAGCAGGGAATCCACGGCCTTGGAGTTTTTCTCATTGTCCAGTTTATTCATCTCTCGTCTGTATTTAGTTCTCCACTCAGTGATCCAGAAAGTAACAGCTGATGTTAAGAGATGGTTAAGAAACTAATTAATAATTAACTAAGCGCACATACAAGCACTTTGAAGAGTTTTTGCTTGAAATTCCTGAAAATGATGACTTTATCAAGTTGAAGCAATTTAATCAAGCATATGCATGCCTCTACCTGTTTTGTCTTTTCAATTTCAAATCTTACAAGAATACCCAGCCTCCAAAAATAGCAGTTTTAGTGCTGAAGCACATTAAAAAAGAAAATTAAGTTGCTCTGACCAAAAAAAAAAAATACAACCTCATATGTCAATGAAAAATACTGGGCTAAATGGAATTTGAATCTTCAACTCATAAATACATGAGGGCATGATATAAAGGAAGTCTCTAGAGATAAAGGAAGTCTTTATTAGACTATAAACAGAAGAAAAGTTGTTACTGTATTATCAATTGTCACATATCTGCGGCTTTTCCTTTGATCTTTCAGTTGTGATATATCCAATATCACATATGCGATAATACTTCCCACGCCCCCTCATATATCACTGCACAAGACACTTGGGGTAAAAAGTGTTACAAACAATGTAAGAATGAATTCTAACCCTACTTGATTCAATATTTCAAAACAAAATCTCTTATGAAGGGAAAAAAATCAAATAACTAGAAATATGTCCATAGGACATGAATGCCCCGCCGAGGGTATATCAGTAATGCAATATTTTAACACAAATTGAGAAAAGTGAGGTCAAGGTCAAAGGAAAGGTCAAGGTGAAAAAATATTGATGCAGTTGAATAGCTTACATCAGTATGTATCAGCATAGGAAGTTTGACACTAATTTAAGAAAAGTAAGTTCAAGGTCAAAGGAAAGGTCAAGGTCAAAAATTGTTGATGCAGTTGAAAAGGTTACATCAGTATGTATCAGCATATGAAGTTTGATAAAAATATTATGAATGGTTTCTTTAAAACTGAGCCAAACACTAATTTAAAAAAAAGTGAGGTCAAGGTCAAAGGAAAGGTCAAAGTCAAAAAATATTGATGCAGTTGAATAGCTCTCATCAGTATGTATAAGCATATGAAGTTTGACACTAATTTAAGAAAAGTGAGGTCAAGGTCAAAGGAAAGGTCAAGGTCAAAACATGTTGATCTCATCAGTATGTATCAGCATTTGATGTTTGATAACACTATATTGAATGATATCTTTAAAACTGAGCTAAATACTAATTTAAGAAAAGTGAGGTCAAGGTCAAAGGAAAGGTCAAGGTCAAAAATTGTTGATGCAGTTGAATAGTTCTCATCAGTATGTATCAGCATTTGAAGTTTGATAACACTATCTTGAATGGTATCTTTAAAAACTGAGCTAAACACTAATTCAAGAAAAGTGAGGTCAAGGTCAAAAGAAAGGTCAAGGTCAAAAAAAGTTGATGCAGTTGCATAGCTCTCATCAGTATCTATCAGCATATGAAGTTTGATAAAAATATCTTGGATAGTTTCTTTGAAACTGAGCTTTGAACAGAGCTAAACGCAAAGTGTGACGGAAGGACAGACGGAAGGACGGAAGGACAGAAGGACAGAAGATGGACATGACAAACACTATATGCCCCGGCCATATTCATGGTGGGGCATAAAAATCATACTTATCAAGCGCTTTGCTACACAACAAATCATCGAAATGAGTTAGAAATTCCAAGCTGATCTTATCCAATTCCATAACGTCCGACCTGTTCCCTCACAACTCCTAAAATGGCTAGATTTTTTTACTCCTGACACACACGTCATCAGATATGTGACAAGTTGCTTACATCATAGAACTCTCGTATTACTGGATATCAGTTTCATGGGGCATTGAAAGCTCGGGCACTCTTGGCCCTTGATTTCCACGCTCAAAGAAACTGTATATTCAATACTACTCAACGTCTATGATGTAACCTATACTACTTTTTTATATTAATTAATTATCAATTATTGCTGACCTAGATAGAGAACCATGCTGAGAAAGACAACAAGCCCAAAGATGTAGTTGAAAACAGTGACGAAATAGACGGTAGCGATGATAATGTCGACGATTGTTGGCAAGATCTGGAATACCACGTAACTAAGTAGAGAAGATCAAAAATTTGGTAATAAATATAATTCAGTTTATAAATTCCTGTTTCTTTATAACAATATACTCTGCTAAATGCAAAAATTTTCCAAAATGACAAAGCTCAGAAAAGTTTTGGACACTCAGTAATTGTACTAATTTAAATACGGCTGGGTTTTTTTTTTCAGTATTAATTTTTTATATATTTACCGATTAATTCTTTTTGAAAAATGAAATTTATCTTCTATTTTGTTTGACAATATCCACAAAATCTTTGTTCCTTTACAATATTTCTATGACGCCCAGTTTCAATTTCAAGGTTAGGTGAAGACATTCTTATTCTACTTATTTGTTTGTTATAAAGAGGAGGTGTTGACTTTCTTCGAAAATACTGTAAGGTTAGATTATCCACAATATGTCTGTAAAAAATACATTTTGTTGAACAAATTAATTCCTTAATCCCACGATTTGACGCACTGTCTGTATCCTTAGAGTGTTTGCCTGGCTAACCCTTAGACCATTTCAGAAGAATTGGAGTGCAATTTAAAATTAAACTATCAGGGATCCAAATATTTCATTCACGTTATGAATTATATATCACTGGATTCATAATAAAATAGAATTTTCAAACTTATTAAGTAACACAATTCAGATTGGAAATTTCTGTAAAGAAATACTCCAGGCAAAAGCAGGTGTAAATGAAAATACAGATATTTCAACATGTAAATCAGCTTTATTAATTCAAAATTGTCTGTAGAAAATATCAAAAATTATGTGTGATGATATAATTGATGGTAAAATTATTATTTTTTGTCAATTTTGGAAGTTTAATTCCTCAGAAAGCCATAAATTATAGCGCTATTTCAATGTCAATCCTGCCAACTAATTTTCAGACTAGTGTGATTAAACATGACTTCTGAAAGTTTTTCTGTTTTAGTTGAATGGTCAGATTATGCTAAAATAATTATTTTCTACATCTTCACATGCTAAATATGTGTAAAATGGGAGGTAACTTCTGAATTTATGAGAAACAAGTAACAAAATCAGGACGGGCGGCACCACACTTCACAACATTTTCAGGTGACATTATAAATTAATCCTATCATAGCAGATTTTATTTCTCTTGAGATAAGCCATAGAATGTTGATTATTTTTAGAATTTTACATACACTGTCACAGTCATTGTCCTACATCTTAGAATCTATAGTAAAATCAGTGCTTTTATGGAATGTGTAAATATTTGATTATCAGTTAATCCTTTATTTAGATCACTTTAATGCAGCTAAACTTTAATTGGTATCTTAAACATCAATATCTCAAATACCATGGATATGTTATAAAAAGTGTTTTGGGAATCAAAAACACATTTTCTTTATGATTTTAACATCAATATCTAGAATCAGTGAATATCTCAAAGTTTTTTTTTTGTCAGCCTCAGAAAGTCTGAGATAATGAGCTTTGACTGTATACATATGATTTTAAGTAAAGAATACCTGAGTAGATTGTTGATACTATTCGTCCCTCGGTCCATCACTCGTAACACTTCCCCCGTCTTTTTTTGAAGATGCCATTTCAGAGACAATCTGTTAAAGAGGAGATGTACATTATAACAGTAAAAAAGCTTAGAAACTAACTCATTATTATTATTAGAGAACATGAATTATAACTTTTGAGATGTGTGCAGAACTTGTTTTTTTAAAAATCTTCTTGTCAATTTGAATCAAGAGATCATATTTTTCCATTAAGTTTTTTAAAAAAACATTTTTACTTGATCCTGATTAAAATCAAACCAACATGTAACATGGCAATAACACAATAACTATACCTGTGTAAATGACTGAACAAGCGAACTTGGATTCTCCTGGTTGTGTACTGTTGAACTGGTATCCATAGGAACGATCTGGCATTGTTTAAAAACCCTGTGACTCCTACAAATGCGCAACTTAAAACTTAAATAAAAAGTTGCCAGAGATTTCAGGAATGAAAGGTACAATATCATTCTTTCCCTACATGTATAAATATATATTGATGAAGACAGCTAGTACACTTTTTACAAGTAGAGTATAAAACTCAGTTATAACTAAGTCACTAGACTTCCCATAAAGAAGAAGTTTTAGGATAGCACTAATTTTGATGGTTTTAGCCCCACCCCTCAGGCCCCAGAGGGGCAGGGACCATGAAATTCACGATTTTTGTTCCCCTTCACTCATATATGCTTTATGCCAAAATTGGTTGAAAATGGTTCAGCGGTTCCAGAGAAGAAGCTGAAAATGTTCAAATGTTAATGGATGATGCACAAAGCACGACAAAAACAGATCGCAATAGGTCACCTGAGTGACTCAGTGCAAAGTTTTCTAAGGATTTGTAAAAGTTTCCTTATAATTTAAATAATTATCTTTAAGGTGAGTTCTTTAAAACTGAGCTTTACTGTATATATATATATATATATATATATATAAAATAAATAAATGTAAATACTTACCTGACCCTCCTCCCTTGAGGAAAATAAGTAAGCAATAAATAAGTATATAATCATAGGGAAACTCTGGCCCGCTGACCTTCAGTTCAGCAAGGTCGTCTCCACGAATTTTGGGTTGTTCATTCAGACTGTTTACTATACATAAGAAAAGTTATATTTAGCATTAACCATGTAATGACAAAAATGACATTTAGGATATGTTTCTAATGCTACAATCTTTTTTTCATGATTTTCAAAACATCTCTACTTTGGTATTTATAAAATACTTTTGAACTTTGGTATCTTGAACATCAGTATCTTAAATGAACATCATGAATTTGTTGAAGTAAGTTGGAAGTCCTAGCCACCTTTGTTCTATGTATTTTAACCTCATTTTCTCGAAGCCTCTGATATTTCAAAGATTTTCCTCAGTCCCATCGAGTTCATTACAGTCCCTAAAATGTTCTACTTCCCCATTTTTTGGTTTGCTCTCTGTTCATTCAGCATGTCTTCACCATTCGTCCAGCTTGCGCTCAGTGTTCACAGTTTTGCATTCAGCATTCATGCAGCATTCCCTTGCCATTGTTCACTTTGTGTTCACCTTGCATTCAGTCTTGTTTATTCACTAGCTGTCATTCAGAACTCCAAAGTGAAAGGAAAACAGAATTAATGTATCGGCAAGGGTCTACAGGTTTTGGAATTTAAATTTATGTTATTAATATTTTAATATCGATTTCTACATCCAAAATATCTGCTTCCTTTCAAGATAATTTGATTTCTTTTGGCTTGAAATTTGGAATTGGTCCTTCTACAAAATCTATTTTGAATCCTTTTACTTGATTCAGAATGTTTTGATCTGAAGAAACCTTTTCCCAATTTTTTATGAAAAATTCTAGTCTTTCCCCCTAATGGGATATGAGCTTGATCTATTGAAACAAAATTCAAATTCAGAATTGCAGAGTGGAGATTGCAGTGAACCAGTCTCATCTTTTCCATTTGATCATAGGAATTTGATTGATACCACATGTAAATTCTCTGTTAGCATGCAAGTGCCTGTTTTTGTTGGTCTTGAAGCTTTCTCCACTGCCTTTTTGCTGTGGTTTTGATCCACCCTTGTTGAACAATCCTCGTGGTTGAGGGTGGGGTTGACTACTCCTCGAAGATCTCGAACGAAAGGGCCATTTGTATATATATAAGTATATATAAGGGAGCACCCATTGTACAACGGCCAGGATCTCCAGATTTTTTGGTTGTTTGGTTAAGATGTAGGTACATGTATATACTAAGCTTTTAAAGAGTTTTTGGGATATTTTCTTAATTTCTATCGCACAGTAACTTGTGGAAAGCTAGGCCTATATTTATTTATTAGAGTCATTTCATAAATTAGTCTCAAGGAAATGTTACATTTTTGGGAATTTAGAGTCAAGACGACTGCAGCCATTATTATAATTTTATCATAATATAATTTTTTTTATTCGTTATTTTCTTTATTTATCTTTATCACTGATTAAATTGAATTTAACTTGTTCAATAGAGGTTAAGCCAGAATAAACCATCATCTCAAGCTATTTGAATCTTATTTTTTTCATATTTATACGAGTCCAACATTTAATTTAAATCTTTTGGTATACAACTTACAGTAAACTTTTGGGTATTCAAAAAACCATTTATACCTCCAAGTGACATAGTCACTGAGTGCCATCCTGTTACACCTTTTTATTTATTCTGGAAGTGTTAGGAACAAAAATAAATACGGTATGCAGGGAAATTTCTCGCTTCCGTTTTATTTTCGCCCTAGACACAAGTGGGCGAATTTAAGACAGGGCGAATTCAAAGAAAACAGTATAATTTCTTAAACAGAGCCGTGACTGGGCGAATTTAAAATGGGGCAAAATTGTTAGCAAGTGTGAAAGGGCGAAAATAACCCTGTATACAGTAAATAAATAAAAAAAATTATTCAAACAATTTTTATCTGGTCTGGTAATGTCAGCACAACAAAAATTATTTATTTATGAGATTTATTTAACTTTTTTTGTTAACAATGCAAGGAAAACCTCATGACAGACTCATTCACACACCGTTCACTTTGTTCAGTGTTCGCTCACCATTCAAAAAAGTAGAACATTTCAGGGACTGTAATTATTATTTTTCTCTAAAAGATCTTACTGATATATTTGCTGTAGAGGGGGACCAGTACATTTATCCCCCTCCCTGCCCCTAGAAGAAGCAGACAGACAAGGACCAGCCCCTGCCTCCAATAGCTCCCTTTAGGCCATACAAATGGAATCATTATCTTAAGCTTTCGCCACACATTCTTCCAAGCGGATTGGTTTTGTGGTAGCTCTGGTGTGGGGCCCTGTAAAGGGAAAAAAATAAGTTTATAAGAGTGTTACAGGAATGAACAAACTGCAGTGAACCAGCCAAGATTTGAACCATAGCTTCTTGAACTCTAAACATGAATTCTACCAACCAGCCACAGGTGAACAAACTCTACCAACCGTCATAATGGCTACAGTATTAAAAAGAATTGTCTTTATGAGTAACAGTATTACATATTTTTTTCAATTTCCTTGTTACATTGTAACTACATGTATATTCAAAATTTTATGTACCGGGTAAACAGTAAAATAAAGCACTGAATCAAATAAACATGCTATGGAAAAAATCAAATAAATCAACAATTAAAAAAAATAGTTTTGTTGAAATTTGACACCAGGTGTCCTACATGTAACTGGAAATGGAGAATTGGGATGTAGCTTTAGGGACAGGCCACTTGCATGCCCTGAGTGCATACCCTGTCCTAAAAAGGATAGTTTTAAATATGTATTTGTTCTGTACAGTCCCCATTAATATCATTTCAAAACTCTTATTGATCTCTCTTTCACACTCTCTTTCTGACATGCTATCACTTTAATGTCTGTGTTACAACTTACATTCTGCATATCAGTTGGAAGATGGTACCGGTTCCTTTTCAGACCCAGAGCCAAAAATCCACAAATCAGAAGCATCAAAGAACAGCTGTATCGAACAATCCACAGACCAAACTCTATGTGATCTGAGTACCTGTAAAATAGACAATTATCAAAATACCACTAACTAATATTTTCTTTTTATACTTATTATACAGTAAAACTCAGTTAAAAGGAAATCACAGGGACTTCAAATTTTGCTGTCATATAACAACTGAGAGATTCTTTACGTCTGAATAATGACAGTTAAAAGGAAATCACAGGGACTTCAAATTTTGCTGTCATATAACAACTGAGAGATTTTTTACGTCTGAATAATGACAGTTAAAAGGAAATCACAGGGACTTCAAATTTTGCTGTCATATAACAACTGAGAGATTCTTTACGTCTGAATAATGACAGTTAAAAGGAAATCACAGGGACTTCAAATTTTGCTGTCATATAACAACTGAGAGATTCTTTACGTCTGAATAATGACAGTTAAAAGGAAATCACAGGGACTTCAAATTTTGCTGTCATATAACAACTGAGAGATTCTTTACATATTCTTCAGGATTCATTTGAATTCCTTATGGCTGAGATACATGTATCATGTATCATGTATCTTTATAAGTAAGTGGCTATTAACCAATATTTACTGTAAAGTCAAAGTTGAAATAATCAAGTTGCTAATTATTATATTAAAAAATGCCAAACTGAAGCTCATATACATGTACATGTCTCATAAAATCTTTTGTTCATTTTTGATGTTACAGTCAATGAGCTACATGCAGCAGTTCTACACGAGTTAACAAATCTCAAAACCATACTGTAAGAGACAAACATTTCTCGATGTTTTAATCATTAAATGTGATCTTATTTGTCAAAACTAACCCGTTCAAAGACCACCAGTAACTTGGACTCTCCCAAGATATAAAGGGCAGGTTCTCCTTTATGAAAGCAAGGCTCCAGAAGACCAGTAAAACTAAGCCATGACCTCGAGTCGGTATTGAGGGCAGCATCCGTCTCCTCTCGTAAAACAAAAGCCTGATGGATGCTATCCAGCAGAAAACAAGGGCAATGGCAGTAAACACTTGGTATCCCGCTACATTCTGATCACGTATAGAGGTGTCGGAGAGAATTGTGTGAATCAGGGCCTCCAGCATGAGAATAAAGCTCAGAATGACCTGCAGCGTGAAGCCACAGGAATTTGGACGGTTTTTCTTGGGCAGTCTGGTGGCATATTTTCTATACAGTGGACATTGAATACAACTGCATATCAAAATCTGAAGGAATAATACGCTGGAGGTGACAGTATTGATGAAACATGGATTCAGTCCCTTGTTTACCCAAGTCTGAGTGAAATTCAAGTCTTTGCAGTACTTCATGTTGTATCTTTTATATCTGAAATGCATGGAATGAAGTTAATAAACATATTTGCTGACAGCAGGTAATATGAAGGTATCATCATGTACATGCAATAAAAAAAAAAGATATAAAGACAAAGTATCAGCATATAATGGAGAAGAATCTGTGTATAAATACAGAGTATCAACATACTGTACATGGTATACAGTGAATTATACAGTTTACACTTAGCATATACCATATTTAGCAATATTCAGAAGAAATTGATTTTACAGTAAGCTAGTGTAGATTAGATTTAGAGCATTATGAATGTGCTAGATGTAAGTATATGTATACACTGGCAAGACATCTAGCAACGTACTTGATTAAGCGGAAGCTGCCTTCCTCCAAAAGGGCTAAATAGAATACACTGCCATTTGTAATACGTTTACAGTAATATGACGATGTATTGGCATATAATGGCAAAGTATCATCACATCATGAATCTTATCCCCATAAGCCTCAAAACTAAAGGCAACATTGAGGCTTCCATGACATACACTAACCACCTAGCTGTTACCATTTAACAATGCCATACTTTCCTTCTTAACCCTTTAACTCCATACACATTGAGTGTCATGTTGATTTTATGTCGACATTTTTTATTCATACGAGACATATCAAAATTAAAAATCTGTTCTAAATTAGCATACTGCTGTATACTTGTTACACAAAGAGAAAATTTGAGCTTTGGCTTCAACACTCTGTATTATTTAACTTCGTTAAATAGATGTAACCACCGGATTTCTCGATCTGTACAGTGAAAAACCGGAATCTGTCTTGTTGTTAAATGCGTGTTCACACACATGCTTATTTGCATCATAGTCTCCAAAGTGCTTTGTCTGGGTTGAGGGGTGGATCAAGATCAATCAACGTTATTTTATCCAAAGTGTTGAACCCAATCTCTGAACTCCAGTCTTTGTTTTGTGACAGCTGTGATGATTTCATTTCCTGATATTCCTAAAATAATAATGAAATCAATTATCACCAAAGAATTGATATAAAGGTTAATTAAAGGTTCATTTTGAATTTATAAATAACTTTAAACATGCAATCTCCCCAATCAAAATTGAAGTATCAGATAGTCAGTATTCGTTAATTATGAGACTAATATTTAGCTTGCAAATCTTTTATCACATCTGAATCAATTAAGTATAATTAAAAACAATTTTAAATAAAAATGACTGTTTGACTTATCATGTCACAACAGATATACATTCAAACATACATATATAGACAGACCTGCATGACCAAGTACTAGGTGTTTTTCTCGTACAGTTAACTACATGTACTTCTGAATCAGTACAATATTTGAAAACATTACAATGAAAACTATTTGAGTTATTGCATCATAACAAAAAGTGTCAATAGATATAATTCGATTGTACATACAGACAAACAGGCTATGTGATGTAACCCTAAAATATATAGGTTTCTTTCTCTTATAGTAAAGAGCTTCTGTACAAAATTTGAAAATTTTATGTTGAAAACCGTTTTGAGTTATTGCATCACAGCACAAGTGTCAATGAATATACTTTTGGACAAATATAAGTAGAGCCCAACCCTTACACAAGAACATCTGACCCAGAGGCCATGAAACTCACGATTCTGGAAGAAGCACCCTTGCTCATCATAACTATACACTTCAAGTTTCTTTGCTTTATAACCAGGAGCAGAAAGAATATTTTGAAAGAAATTATGCTTTTTCACTAAATAATCAATGAACCCCCCTCCCTTTCACTAGAACCCCTGACCCTGGGCCCATGAATCTCACAATTTTGGAAGAAACATCCTTGCTTATCATAACCATGCACTTAGTTTGTTTAAATAATACCCAGGAGCAGCTATTAAATCTCGCCACTGTTGGGCATATTTCATATATTTTTGACAAGCAAAAAAAGGCCAGCTAGGTGCTGGAAAAAAGGGCACGGTACTGCACCATGCTAGTTTGCTTATATTTATCACTATAAGTGTTTCAGGCTAATAGAATTTTGCCATTAATCAGTCAGGGGTGAGACTGAAATCCGTCATTTTTAAAATGACGATTTTTAGTCATAAAATAAAATTTTTATTATGACTTAAACTCGTCATTTTTAAGAAAATGACGAAAAACAGTCATTAAAATTTAGAGTGTTTCTAGAATACCAAGTTACCTCTCCTTGAAAAATGTTAGATCCACCAACCGAAAAAAGGACAAAAAACATCGTAAACAAACTTCATTTCTCTAATACAGTTGACTACAATACTGGTTATGTTGACAGTACAAATTTCCCAAGCAAAAATAAGAGTGGAAGAGTTATTTGTCAATTTATTTGCATTAAATAGGAAAGAAGACGAAAATGATGATATTCCGTCTTTTTTCAAATTGGAGGGTCTGGGCGCACTGAAATATCTCGCTTGTTTTACGGGGCGCACTACTTTTTTATGACTTACACTTTTTGTCGAGACTTTTCTCTACAAGTACGTATTCTTCCAGACGGTGTACTATATGTTTTTATAGGGCTAAAAGCCATGTAAAAATGGCGAATTAGTTCTACCAAAATTCGACATTTTACCGCTAAATAATAACTTTCACCTTCCATGTTGATGTTCTAACGCACGTGGTCGGCCGTAATTAGTGACCCGGATGAAATGAAACTTGCGTAAACACTCTCCTTTCAGCGGTAAATTGAAATTTCGCTTTTATGTAACCAGGATAGAAGAATTATGTTGAAAAAGAAAATATGACGATAGTAAGTCATATTGACAAAAATGACAAAAATACGTAGTTAGTAAATATGACGATTATCCATCATTTTTCAGAAATGACAGATTTCAGTCTCACCCCTGACTGTTAATTGCTAGCCCGACTGGGCTGGTGCTGAAAAAATTTTTGGTGCACACTGTTAGCACTAATTCAAGATAATGTCAACCACTCCATACCCAGTGATTGCGATAAATTTTGAATATGTCAATTAAGTACACATACAGTATCTTTGCATACAAAATAGACTTATCCTTACCCTGATCTGTTTTGGCATCTTCTGGTTCATGTCAGCTGAGACAGAAATTATGAGATACAAGCTCTTCTGTTTCAGAAACTTCATCACACATTGCTTGCATATGCCTGGGATTCTACCAAAGAAAAGTTTAGATACTAAATTAAAAAAAAAAAATGAAAACCTATGATATTTATCACTTTTAATAAACAAAATTTGCTTCAGTTATTCACTTTTATACTAAATACAACTTATAAAAATTAATTGCATGTACAAATACTTAACACCTTCCCCAATAATCCCTTTAATCTGGTCAAGTTTCATAATGATTTTACATGAATAATGTTTATGAGCAATCACTGAGCTTATGACGTCACTTTTCAAATTAGACAATGTTATGCCAGGTAGCAACTGGCCATCCCCAATAAATATACTTTACTGTTTGAAATGTAATCAATAATCATTTATAACTGTCACTGTACACTGTAAATTAAATCTTACCTAGAGCTCTTAAAACTCTCCCTCTCCAAGTTGAGTAAGGGGTCATAGTGGTTACATTCGGACAGCCATCCCTCTTTGGGGGGTTACTCTTGGATTCTGCTTGGCCTTGCAAACTTAACTTCCGACATTAAGTGGTATGGACAAATTGTCAATACCTTGATCATCACTAGGACAGTACTTCCATGGCCATAAACAAATTGCTGTGCAAGCTCACCTCTCAGGCTTACTTAGTTTACACGTGAACGTATGCACAACTTTTGTTCTTGTACAATCTTTAATGCAATTTATGTCACTTCACTAAGATATGCGCGATGAACGATATATGTGGCATCAAAACGCGAAGTACAGTCTGCCATGGAGGCTGCCATTTTTTTTTTACTTGCGCCACCTATATAAACATCTTAAGGGAGATAACTCCTAACAAGTAGCAAATTCCATGATTACCCTTTAAATTTACACAAAAATATGTTTTCCATGTTCCATCTTTACCTTAAGTATATATTTATTTCTCCCAAATTCTCTTGGGATTTTAGGAAATTATTTCATGATATTATGCACTATTAACATACAATTTCCATGATTTAAATGTACAACATACCCCCTTAGAGAAACTAATCCTCAACTGTTTGATAAAAGAATTATAACAAAATCATTACATATCATTCATTTTAGACCCAAATGAATGCATCAAATACAGTTTTAATGAATTTGCAGATTTTCATTATATATCTACCCGTAATACCGCCTAATTTGTGCAACCTGCCTAATTCTTACGTAATATTAATCTGGTACCCTTCCTACAATTCCGTTCGAGCACTCTCTACATCATCTTCGCAAGCCAAGGATTTTCCGTTTCCGTTTCGCTCCCCAAACCGTTTGGCAGATTACACCACTGAAACTGTGGCGGACATAAGCGACATCTTTTGGTCAGCTGTTGGACGCACTACATTATACTCTGCATTCCAGCCAATCAGATAGCCGTTTTCAAATTGTTGTTTGGTATACACTGTAAACAAGAAATGAAGATGTACACGAAAGCCAGAGGTAGAAGAAGTACATGAGGTAATTAAAGGTTTATCAACGAAAAATAGATACGAAGTGAGAATATAATGTGTACAGGAACAAAATGTTTATAAATGATTGTTCGTTTATTGTTTTTATTATAATGACGTAATGTGACATGAAAGCTGTCTTCTCATTGGTTCAAAGGGTTTAACAAGAAACAGATTTTGTTATGTTATCTGCCAAAGGTTTTGTGGGGCACCAGTATCTGTCAGCTTACATATACCGCTGTACCCGTATATGAGTATACCGGTAGTGCGATTCATGAGCGTAGCGATGTTTATTACTCTAGTTTATACCGGTGTATTTTCCCGGATTTTTAGATAAAAATTTCTCAATCTAATTAAAATCAGACTCCTTAGATCAGAGCCGTATGATCCGTGCGTGATCACTATGCCTAAGAAGGACATAACCCGACCAGGGGTCATGTTCACATGAACTTATCTTAATTAGCCAATCAGCGTATCGCCTCTGAAAGGATGACTGCACTTAAGGACATGGGAAATTTGCGACAAAATAAACTTTCAAAACAAGCATTTTTCTTTTCATTGCAAGAATGGCCAACATCCAATCTACAACTTTATTTAATTACGTTTAATAAAAGTGTGTATTTACGAAGTTTGAATCTGTTTTCAAAGGCAGGGGTCATCACAATTTCTTGAATCTCCGTTCGATAATGAGGACGCCCACTTTTTTACTGACTTCATGCATAGTCAGCGCATGTTTGTCTATTGTTCTATGTTTAACAGTAGTTGTATATTTGCATAAATAATAATGTGTCAAAAGGAGATTGATAGACAAACTTGTGCTTATGGTTAAAAAGAGAAAAAAACTGCTTCTTCTTACATCCATGTGTTGTAACCAATGTGACATGTTGAATATTATAATTCACCACGTGATTTCTTACCTCAGGTAACTTTCTGAATACTAAATTCCGTCACGTGACTTGTAAGGTAGCATGTTTTGTGCTCACTAGGACATTGTGTTCGAACACGTTAAGTCATCTGGCATTGAAATAAAATCTGCTTTAATTAAATTGACGTGCTCATATCATTAATTTCGTTTTGAAACCTTTGTCAGAAGTGTATTTGTGCCATACAGAATGGAGAGGGAGATTGGAAAGAGTGCTCACGTTCTTTTTTCAAACATTTCATTGTTACTTATCAAGTCTAATTTTAGACCAATTCTTACAATGTTAGCTCCACTTCTCATGCATATCTAATGTTCAATCAAGGGCAGGTAAGTGTAAATTCACTATATTTGGAAAGCAGTAAGGACAAAAAACATTGAATCATTTTGTTATATCACAGTCTAAAATGATTTTAAAATTTAAATTTGGTTCCAAATTGACAGGATTCTTTCATAAACATACAAAAGTGAAATAAGGCGTAGATATAAAAGCAACAGAAGCAACCGAAAAAGACCCCAAAACAGGCGTTAAGAGCAGTCATCCTTTACTCAAAATACATGTACACAGGCCCGTAGGGTAGGAAGCAATTTCTGTTTTCTATAGTAATCTATATATCGGCAAAATTATTGGGGGGGGGGGGGGGCATGGCCCCCAGTGTGATACAGAGGGGGTCGATACGATGTATCGATACAAAATAAATAATTAAGAATCGATTTTCCCCCGATACTTTCAGGAAGTATATACACTGTAAAAATCGTGTTTAGATGTTGAACACTTTTCTTAACACATTTGTGAAACACAGTTTTTCACATGTTCTAAATCTAAACATGTTTCCCACTTCAACATGTTATTTAAAGTGCTTAGAGTCTAAACGTGTTAGAAGTCCATGTGTTTAGGAATTAAACACCTAAACCCTTTCTTCATGTTCTAGTTTTAAACATGTTTAGATTCTAAACACAAAAGAGGTATCCTTGCTCTGCATGAGAATATATACTGTTGCATTCATTATTTGTCCAAAAATCCTGAAAATTCATGTAAATGTCATCCTTGTTCATTACTGTATATACATGTCATCCCAGAAGCATTACAGTTACAAAAAAAATCAATAAGAATATACTTCATTAATCTAATTTATTAATCAAACTAATCTATTGATATCAAATCCATGCATCACTCAAAAACATATGTTATTCTAATACTAAAGAAGTACTTGAATATGTATATTATGTCTTTGAAAAGAAATTATACTTAAATGAGGAATCCAAATTCTAAACAATTCAAAAATTGAAACGAAAAATTATTTTCAAACTTTCACTTTTTGACAACATATCGAGTTCTTGACTTCTAAAATTTCTAAGATTATCCTTTCTCAACCAAAGACATGTTTAAGTCAAGTGTAATGAACCTAATATTCACAAAATATACATAAAAACTACATGTATTGATCTCATTAAACAGAACAATTGAAGAACAGTATATAATTACCTTTTTATAGAGGCAATCTACCATAACGTGAATACAATAATTACAATTAGTTGCATTAAAAAGTACCAAAAAGAAAAAAAAAAGTATCAATGTCATGAAGTACAATTAATAGGAGTCAATACATTTGACATAAGTAACATAACATTGAACCTTATCCTCAAAAGGTTATATCTTGGAATCTTTTTAGATCTGATATACTAGTAAACAGGAATGTTTCACACCAGTTAACATTTTTGTAGAACATGCAAAAAGAAATGACAAAAACATATTCATAATTGACTACAAAGTATGTCTAAAGCAAACATAATTAAACACACCTATGTTTACTAATATTTCATTCAAATGAAACAAATCCATTGAAATGTAGATTGAAACCAATTTATAACAACAAACCAATGGTGTTTTCTTGCTTACAACAAAGTCAGGTTTTGTCAACAAATAGTACAAAATGTAGAAATTTGAACTAGAAATAATGAGATTCTACAGTAGCATGATTCACTGTGTAGCGTCAAGACGCTTGCAGAATTTCATGTAGTTTTGGGAAACAAAAAATTTATTCTCCCTGTCTTCTAATATGTAATGTTGCAAAAAGCCCAGAAGTTGAAAATGTTTTGGATATGACAAATCCCATGCATAGTAGGAGTAAATCAATCGTAATAGTCCATCCCTGAGTATTCCCACATTTGTGTCAACCTCCTGGCCTGCTCCCACAATATACATATTTTGAATCTCGTTCCTTTGGTTGAGAACTGCAACTAATCTTGGTGGGTCGTCATGCTTTGTTTTTTAACCTTTCCACTCACTTGCCTAAAAAAGGGACATAAAAACTATACATTGTACATTTAAGAGTTTAACTTGGAAAAATGATAAGTTTTTTCATCTAAAATTTATTTTCTTACTACTGATACTGGCTTTATTTCATACCTTGCACGATGTAATCAAGGGAAGCTGTTTGGTACCATGCTTGTACTTGATTGATTCCTCCAATCTGTTCAAAAGCTTTATTGTAACTTCTGGAATCTAATAAAAGAAAAATTCTATTACTATGTGGATTAAGGTATAACAAATTTTAAAATACTTCAATACTTAATTAAAGTAAGTATAACACTCACAGAGTCTGAGTTTTCCTCCATGAATATTTGGGACACTTTTCTCATTACTTCATCCCAGTGAGCCAAAATAGCATCTTTTTTCAGGTTTTGTTTGATAAGGAAAAACTCCTTCTCAATCTGAAATAAAGAAGGGTAATCTTAGCAATACCTAACCATTTCTGTTTTGTATATTAAGAAAAATACCTTCATCTATAGAGTGCTTAAAAATGCAAGGGATACAAACAAGATCCTAGACAAATAGCCAACAGTTAAAAAATATGCTTTACTGCACTATACGTTAAATTAGAGCACACTGCATTAACATTGCAAAAATCACAAGAAAGGAAAATTCATTAAAATAACAGCAGATATAAATTACATACAAACGCAGCTTTTCCTAGAAATGGAAACTTCTTGATGAGATGTTCCACAGATCCCCCATGTCTTTTTTCTATAAACAATCTTCTCTGTTTTAATGTATCTCTTTGAGTCTTAGCAATAAGTGCATTGTCTCTTAGTTTGGTTGGTTTTTTAAATTCCTCCATCAGTACATTTTCTGCTTCTTCTAGGGTCATTCTCTCTTAAAAAGATATTGATGAACATTAGAATAAAATGAAAATTGACAAGATATTATTGATTTGCAATTTAGCTATCTTCAGCAATAAATGTTATTTCTGTGTGTCACCTGTAAATAAAGCAATCTACCCATGCAACCCTCTCTGCCTTTTGAAAGATAAATATTTCGCTTACCATCTGTTGAGGAGACTTTTTTCAAGCACACTTTTGGCTTTTTCTCTGCTGTGTGTTCAACAGCCTTTCCTCTTGCATTCCATCTCCACCTTATGTGTCTTACTT